CCACTTCGCCCCTAGATCTCCTGCCTGCCACGCCTTTGTATCTTCCGTCTGGCCTCTGGACCTCTAGCCCCGCCCCCTGCCCTAAAGCCCCGCCCCTCTGTCTTAGCCCCGCCCCTCTGCCTCTGCCCAGGTCATGCCTCTCCCTCATCCCTTTTGCACCTCCTTCCTGGAAGCTCTGGCTGTCTCACCCGTGAGGAAGAGTAGGATGATGGTAGTCTTGCCCCGCAGCGACTCGTCCTCCTGGCACCGAATCCGCAACCCCATCCCCAATGCTAAGATGCTGAATGCCGCAGCCAGCACCATGCACGCCGCGGTCACCGCCAAGGTGGCTGGGGAGACTGACGCATCGGCCACGGCTCTGATAGTGGTTGCAACCCCCCACACCTGGAGCTCTTCTACCCCACCCCCGTGCCTCTAGAGCCAAGCTCGGTCCACCTGGAAGCAGGTGTTTCCATGGGGATGTGGTAGGGAGAGGATGTCAGGGAGCTAGGACGTGGGGGAGGGGGTTGGTATATTGTGGCCCCGGTGGTGGAGGACAGCTGGATCTGAGCCTGGCGTGGAAGGGACCCAGCTGGAGTGTGGCCTGACATCCAGGGCTTGTGGGGGCCTCACTCTGGTAGGGGATGTTGGAGCAGATGTTGTGGGTGCACTCCTGCCACAGGCCACTGTGGCCTCCCTGATGTCTGATCCAGTAGTTGGTGGCAGTGCACAGCACTGTAAGGACACTGGTCAAGAGGCTGAGCAAAGTGCCCCCGGTCTGAAGGCTCCTCTTCACCCCCATGCCAGGGGGGCTGCTGCCAAGGACTGCACAGGCAGGAATGGTTCACACCCCTGAGGGGTGGCCGCCCTCTCTTCAGAAGGACTCCCTTCCCAGGTACCCCTGCCTGGGAACCTCAGGACCCTGCCTTTGTACCTGTAACCCCAAGCACTGAGGAGGCTGAGTCAAGAGGTCACCAGTCTAAGGCCAACCTGGGCTGCTGTGTGAGGCCTTGTCTCAAAAAATCAAACTAGGGGGCCTGCTGTGGTGGCACATACCTTTAACCCTGGCACTTGGGGGTCTGAGGCAGGTGGCTCTCTGAGAGGTGAAGACCAGCTGGAACTTCAGGAAGACCCTGTCTCAAACAACAAAAACGAACCAGAAGCTAGGAATGTAGTTCAATTAGTAGAGTGGTTGCCTAGCATTCACTAGGTCCTGGGCTCCATTCCCTAGCATGAACTAGGCATGATGGTGCACACCTGTAATCCTGGCACTTGGGGCATGGAGGTTGGAGGATCAGAAGGTCAAGGTCATCTTCTCATATGTAGTGACTTTGAAGCCAACCTGGGTTACACATGACTCAGTTTCAAACAAAACCAAAAGACCCCCCACCCACCTCCCAGCACCCATGCTCTTGGGCTTTTCCTCAGCCAGCTTGCCTAGGGACCTGTGACTCCTCCATGACCCAGTTCTCCTACAGGCAAAACACCCATGTTTGAAGACCCTGAGACCTTAACCCCAGGTCTTACATCTGGGTGACTATCTTCCCAGGGACTTCCTTCCCAAGGCAAAAGTCCCTTTCAGGGGGCCCCCATGGGCCCAGTGTCCTCCCCACCCCCATCCCTATACACACCCCTGGAAGTGACTCACAGCCTGTTCCCCAGGGGTTATTAACAGTCACAGCCCACCGGGAAGGGAGGCTGGGTCTGTCTCTATGAGGCAGCAAGGATTCCAGAACCCTCCCCGAGTAGCCATTTAAAGCTATACTCCCCGCCATCCAACAGTATTCATATTCTCTCTCTCTTTCTCTCTCTCACTCTCGCTCGCTTGCTCTCGCTCTCTCCCTCTCTCTAGTTGTTTGGAGGCAGTGAAACAGCTCGTTGTAGCCCAGGGTGGCCTCCAAGTGGCTATGTGGCCCAAGTCTGACCTGGGACTTCTGACTGCCCTCTCTCTGCAAATGCTGGGTTTACAGACTTCCTGGCTGGCTTTTGTTTTCTTCTGTTCTGGTTTTGTTTTGTTTTTGTTTGTTTTTGATTCTTTGAGACAGAGTCTCACTATGCACCCATAGCTGGCCTGGAACTTACCATGTTGCCCAAGCTGGCTTCAGTCCTTGCAGCAATCCTCCAGCCTCAGGTGACCCAGTGTAGGGATTAAACAGGTGTGGACCACCACCTCTGTTTCCAGCAGCTCTCCACAGAATAACAGCTCCAGTCAGAAAGCAGGTCTGGCTTGGTGTGGTGGCACATGCCTTTGGTCCCAGCACTTGGGAGGCAGAGGCAGGCAGATCTCTGTGAGTTCAAGGCCATCCTGGTCTACATAGTGAGTTCCAGGCCAGCTGGGGCTACAGGGAGACTCTCTAACTAACTAACTAACTAACTAACTAACTAACTAACTAACTAACTAGCAAATAAGTAAACAAATAAATAAAAGAGAGTGGAGGGGGCTGGAGAGATGGCTCAGAAGTTAAGAGCACTGTCTGCTCTTGCAGAGGACTCCAGTTTGAGTCCCAGCACCTACATGGTGGCTAGCAACCACCTGTAACTCCAGTTCCAGGGAATCTGATGCCCTCTTCTGGCCTCTGTGGGCATTGCACACGTGATGCACTTAACATGCAGAGGAAACACTCATAAAATAAAAATAAAAATTTTAAAAATGCATGAAAAGAGAGCAAGAAGAGGGTGTACCTCAGTGGTGGAATACGTGCCTTAGCATGCAAGAGGTGTGAGGTTTGAGCTCCAGCAGTAAACCAAAAAAGAAGTTGCTAAATGTCAAAGTTGACCTTGTTCCCACATCCTCAGGCTGCGGCTGCTATCTGACCAGTATCAACTGCTGGTCTGTAACCACCTCTCTTTCTTCCCCAAGACAGTGAGTCCTTGGTGGACAGGGCTTGGGTGTGACACATGTCAGTGCCTCTGGCATGGCCCAGCAGAGAGAGACTGAAATAACTAATAAACACAGGAAAAAAAAAACAAACTCAAAGAAAATACAGTTCTAAAGAGGCGTGAGGTGGGTCTAGAGAGATGGCTCGGTGGTTAGAGCACTGACTGCTCTTGCAGAGGACCCAGGTTCAATCCCCAGCACCTGCATGGCAGCTAACAACTGTCCATAACTCCAGCTCCGGGGGATCTGACGCCCTCGTCTGACCTCTGTGGGCCTTGCACACACGGTGCACTTACACACATGCAGGCAATGTACTCCTACACATAAGATAAAAATAATAAATAAAATATTTTTAAAAAAGAGATGTGAGGTAGATACAGAGTGCATGGAGCATGTGTCCACACAAGGCAGGAACATCCTCAGGAGCAAAAGTTTGATGGCTGGCACCCTCCCTTGGGCCTCTGTGTCACCCACTGTGAAGCTGATATTTAACTGGCTTAGATCCCGGGAATGAAGCCCAAGGGAGTCTCTGCCACAAAGCTACAACTTCAGTCCCATTTATTTATTTATTTATTTATTTATTTATTTATTATTTTATTTTTATTTATTTTTGAGACAGGGTCTCCCTGTAGCCCCAGATGGCCTGGAACTCGCTATGTAGACCAGGCTGACCTCGAACTCACAGAGATCCCCCTGCCTCTGCCTCCCAAATGCTGGGATTAAAGGCATGTGCCACCACCCCAGCCTCTTTTGACTTTTTGTCTGGAGACAGCATCTAGGTCAGCCTTGAACATGCAACCCTCCTTTGCTCAGGTCTCCTGAGTAGCTGGGATGTTAGGTCTGTGCCACCAGGCCTGGTTTGGCTTGTGTCTTGACTGACTTAATCTTGGAACATTAGCAAATTTTTATTGAATGCATGAAGTTAATGAAAGGTAAGGCTAAGTGGGGGGAAGGACAGGGAGAGAATCGGCATCCTTTCTGTGGGTCCTGACGACGACGACACCTTGAGATCAAAATGCCCCCAACATCCTGCTGTCCTGGTCTTCCGTTCACAAGGATTCATAGCCAGCCTGGTGCGCTCTACAGTGAGCACCCAGGCTCAGGGAACCTGGGATGGCCAGAGAGCGTTTGAGTACCTTAGTGTCCTGCCTTCCCCTGTCCCTGTTCCAGCCCCCAGCAGGGCCCTCCCCAGGGAGGGGGCTGAGTAGTCACCTGTACCGAGGAAGAGGATGACACTGACCCAGCCCAGGTAGAACGACCAGGAAAAGAAGGTCTGGACCTGGGAGTGTGGAGGTTGTCCCCACCGCTCAGTGGTGTATACTGCCATGGCCACCATCATGGACAGGGCTGATAACAAGCATAAGGGGGGAGAGAGAGGGAAAGGGAGAGGGAGAGGGAGAGAGAGAGGGAGAGGGAGAGAGGGAGAGAGGGAGAGAGAGAGAGAGAGAGAGAGAGAGAGAGAGAGAGAGAGAGAGAGCCAGCTCAGCCCCTGTGGGACTCACCAGCCCTGGTGCCCAGATGCATCCCAGAGCCGGCGCATACCTGCTGCAAAGGCTATGATGGTTGAGACCAAGGGGCCACGGCCGGGGGCAGACAGTGCGGGGATGCATGACAGGACCAGGAAGCCCACGGACACTAGGCCCCAGAGGGCCGCCAGGATGCAGAAACTCTGTGTCACATGGATGTAACCTAACACAAGACAAGACTTCTGAGTGCCCATTGTCCACTGGCCATCCACCCCCTGCCCACCAACCCTGTCCCTCACCTGCTATTGGATCCCCACTGCTGGTTGGCCAAAGGCCCGAGTGAGCTGACCAGTTGGGCCCCAGGGCCACAATCCAGAAATCGGTGCTCAGAGCAATCAGAGAAGACATCAGGCCCAGGGAGCCAGCAAGCAGGGCCAGAGACCTGCAGGGCTCCATGGAAGGACCACTGGGTTTCCTCTCCTCGGCCTACAAAGATACAGATGACCCAGACTGCTGGGTCTTGGAAAAAGGAGGAGGTTGTGCAGGAGGCCTCCCAGGTCCACCCAGAAGGAGCCAGCAAGTCCTCAAGGCAGCTCAGAGTTCCTGGCAGGCTCAGGTCGGGTGGGTTTGACTTCACACACCCTCCCCTTCCTGGGTTGCTTGGCCAATGGTCTTCCTCAATTCCCTCCTCTAGAGTGGTGGGGGAGGGCTCTGGGGGTGCTGAGCCATCTCCAGAGCTACCTAGGGGTGTCAGTGTCAGTGGTTTTGGTGGCGGTTTAGACTCGCTGTCATCAGTCCGATGCCCCCGTGCTTGGAGACCTCAGCATGGGAGAAGTTCCTGGAAGGCCTGAGAGATAGAGAGGGGCCTGGGGGTGGGGGGGGCACCCAGAGGTGAGAGGCGGCTAATCAAGCTACGGTGTGAAAAGGAAAGGGAAATGTGGCCAGAGGGGGACAGTTGTATCACACTTCCTGTGGGGTTTACACCCCTCCATTCAGAGAGAAGACACCCCCCCACGCTGGAGTCTCCACCAGTGAAGGGGCTGTGGGGTCAGAATCCCAGTCCCAGTCCAATGAGAAGATGGACTGACCAGGTAGGGGGACAGACAGTCCAAATTTGAAATGCTTGTGGAGAGGAACGTCTACCCACACCCTCAAGTCATAGATGAAGGGAGAGGCTGGTCCGCCAGGCAGGGGTGAGTGCTCCAACATGGGTGTCTCGTCACCAATATAGGGGTGTCTGAAGAGTCAGGACAGAAATGACAGTTTAGTGTCCTCCATCCCTTCAAGCATCTGGTGGTGGGCAACACCTTAGCTACAAGCAAGCCTTGAGAGCTGTATATCCTGTCCCTATTGTGGTAGCATGGGCCTGTAAGCCCAGCACTCAGGAGGCTGATTGTGAGTTCCACGCTTGGGCTACATAGCAAGACCCTGTCTTAAAGAAACAAACAACTCCCTAGCTGGCATGGAACTCACTATGTAGACTAGGCTGGCCTAGAATTCACAGAGATCCACCGCCTCTGCCTCTTGACTGCTGGGATTAGACATGGGCTCAGACAAAAAGAAAATTTCTTTTTAAAAAGGTGCGGGGCAGGGGCGACAGTTAAAAGGCACTGGCTCTTCTGTTCCTAACACCCTCATGGTGGCTAACAGCCATCCTTAATTCCAGTTCCAGGAAATCTGATGCCCTCTTCTGGTATCCATGGGCATTGCACATACGTGGTGCATGCAAAACACTCATGTATGTAAAATAAATTTTTAAAAAATTTTAAAGAGCTGCAGCAGCCAGGTAGAAAGCTCTGGAAAAAGCTGGCAACAGTGGCAGGTGAGCTGAGATGTGCAGGGTTTAGCAAGTGGAGGGTCAGGTGTTCAAGACCAGCCTCACCTACATAGTGAGTTGGAGGCCAGCCTGGGCTACAAGAGCTATTGTTAAGAAAAAAAAGAGGAGGA